ACCCAGGAGTCCGGGGGCCCCCGCCCCCCTAGAGAACCCAGGAGTCCGGGTCTCCAGTCTCCTCAACCACTAGCTCCCGCTCCCCCCAGAGCTGGGGACAGAACCAGGAGTCCAGGCCTCCATCCCTGCTCCCCCATCCATTACCCTCACTCCTGATTGTGCCTCTGCACTGGCCAGCTTGGCCCTGTGTCGGATGGAGGAGCTGGGTGTGGGGGAAGGCAAGCCAGAGGGTAAAACACCAAACAAGCCCCCTTCCCTGGAGACGATCAGCCGTGGCTGGGACCCATCAGGGTTTTGTCCCTAGCAAGTTCACCGTGCGCCTCAGGTCCCTGGTACTGGTGGGGGAGATCCCCTCTCGTCCTGCTCCGCAGGCCTGTCCCCAGGGAAACGTGCCCTTGGTCCCCCTCCCAGTCTATAATGGGCGGCAGTCCATAACACCCAGTATTGCAAGCCCTGTATTACAGGACGAGCTAACCTGTCTCCGAAATCCCTCTGAGACTCCCCCGAACTGCAGGACCCTGCCCCTCCCCTCCCCCCTCCCCGACACTGCAGCGCCCTGTGGCCTGCTAGCCCTGCCGTGTTACCGTCTATTGGCAGATGCGCGGCTCCCGCAGTAAGGCCCTGCACGACCGGGCGCTGGTGAACTGTCAGTACAGCATGGCCACCTTCAGCACAGGGGAGCGCAAGCGCCGGCCCCATGGCGACCGCAAGTCCAGTGAGATGACGCTGCACCTCAAGCAGACCTTCGAGGCAGCAATCCTCACCCAGCTCTACCCCCGTTCCCAGATTGACATCTACGTGCAGGTAGGGGGTTTCTAGCCTTGGCCCCCCCAAGCCATGGGGCCTTTACAGTGGGGCCAGTGGCTCCGTGGCTCCAGCCTCACACTGGTTAACCCAGCACCACCTGGCTTCTGTGGCCCGCAGCTCCTCACACAGCACTGGCAGCTTCCTGGCTCTGTGGTGTGCTGACCCCAGGATGGTATGTCCCACCCCAGTTGCCTATAATAGGTCCCTGGAGCAGGTGGGAAGGGGGCTCAAACCTTGCCCATTGCTCCTTGGGCCTAGGGAGCATGTTGGGGAGCAGTATGATGTGCCCAAGGGGCACAAGGAACTGTCAGCTGAGCCACTGGGGCAGGGGGTGGTGACCTATGCGGTGGGCACTTGCCTGGCAGGGGCGGTGGCTCATGCACCAATGTGGGGAGGGTTGTTTGTATGGGGTTCAGGCTGGGACCAGCCACAGTGCATTCTGCTCCCTGCCCCACTAGTGCCACCGTCTGCTCAGACAGCAACACCAGGTGACGGGGAGTTTGCCCAGGGCTTGTACTGTGTCACGAGCAGGTGACTGATCGCCAAGGAGGCTTGTGGGCATGCAGGCTCCGGCTCTGAGCTCTGTGGGGCCAGACACAGGGTCCCTTGAGTGGGTGGGTGCAGCCTGCTCTGCCCTCTGTGCTAAGCGCTGTGCCTTCCCAGATCCTGCAGGCGGACGGTGGGAATTACTGTGCCTGCGTGAATGCAGCCACGCTGGCCACCATTGACGCGGGCATCCCCATGCGAGACTATGTGTGCGCCAGCTCTGCCGGCTTCATCGAGGACACGCCGCTGGCCGACCTCAACTACGTGGAGGAGGCAGCCGGGGGCCCCCAGGTGGCCCTCGCCCTGCTGCCCAAGTCGGACCAGATCGCCCTGCTGGAGATGAACTCGCGGCTGCACGAGGACCACCTGGAGCAGGTCATTGAGGCTGCCAGCAAGGCCTGCAAGGACGTCTACGCCGTGCTGGACCAGGTGGTGCGTGACCACGTGCACGAGGTCACCACGCTGCTGGGGGAGTGAGCGCACAAGCGTGTGTGCCTGGGACCAGCGCTGCGTGGGGTCAGGGAGCACTGCCCTGGCCTCAGCAAGGGATCGGTTCAGCAGCCAGGGCCCATGCCAGCAAAGTGCCCTTTCGTCCAGCAGCCTGGTTCTGTAACACCCCAACGTCAACATCTGTGTTGGGCCCAGGCTGAGCTCCTCTGCTTGGTGGTAACATCGCGTCGGTACATTTCAACGTCTGTAAAACCTGCTGTCTCTCACTGGGTGACGGACCCTGACTCTGCTACTCGTGTCTGTAGCCCTGGTCGCCTACACCCGGGCTTTGGGCCCCCTCTCAATCTCCTAGGGGCCGCGGGAGGCTGGGGCGTGCCTCCCAGTGGGCAGCTGTTCCGTGGCTCGGGGCAGGAGCTGCTCACTCCCCAGATATCAGTGGCCGCTTTTTATAAAAACCGCTCAAAATAAAGTGTTGTTTTGGTGCAAATTGTATTTTGTACTTGGAAGGGCAGCCGGCCCCCCTGGCTGAGTGCAGGGCAAAGAGGAAACCGTGCTGGTGGGGATACATCAGCATTGAAGTCTTGCCGTTCCCAGGTGCTGGAGGAAGGACCGGCGCGCTGCGATACCAGTCTCCATTGTGCCAGGGTTCCTGCCTATGACAGTTCCCAGGAGTAACCCTGTGTGAGCTGGAGTCTGGTGTGAACCTCCCAGCCTAGGCACCCCCTCTGCTCGCTGCAGGCTGCTCCTGGCATTGGTATGGTGGCTCTGCCGTCCCTAGGCAGGGTCCTCAGACCCCACGGGCAGTTGTGAGCCCAGTGCCAGGGACCCCCGCCTGCTGGCACCATGGCTGCCTGGCCTGCCAGGCTGCGTGCCGGTGAAGCTGCCAGTGCGGCAGGGTTTAGAAGAGATGCTTCTGGCACAAGGGCAGCGGTCGGGTCTGGTCTGGGAAAGCTGATGAGTACCCCTTGCCCTGACCTTTCCCCGCGCCCATCTGCCCAGAGGAGCTCAAATGCTTTATAGCCTGATACCTTCTGAGCCTCAGCCCCCTCCTCCCCATTGCACCTGCACCCACCTGGGGCACAGTCACTACACGGGCTGGGTTCTGAGCCCCGGGCAGAGCAAGGGGGGAAGGCCCCATGGCTCAAGAGCCAGGAGCTTCCTCCTTTAACTCTGGTTCCCAAACATTACGGTTCAATGAGCACCGTGTTTGTTCTGTGGAATTTCCCTTGTTACAGAAACTCCCTGCAGCCTGGGAGTGCTCTGGGGTACTGCACAAGCCGTGCTCCTTCATCTTCTGGGCATCTCGTGTTGGAGGAGCTAGCGCTCGGCCTGTCGTACGGCCCACCTGTGTAAACACCACTCAGCTCCTTGGCACGAGACTAGAGCAAGGGCTCCCCAGAAAGGCAACTGGCACAAGGAGAGGGTTGCGCCTGCGCCCTCCATGCTGACCCTTAAAGGCACAGTCTGCCTTTGTGCTGCTGGCTGCAGGATGAGCAGGGCATGCTGCGAGGGTCTAGTTTGTATTTAAAGGGGGGAGGGGGGCATTAGTTTCTGCTTGAACATTACGTTGTAAACTCAGGTCTGATGGGAGCAGGAAGCCTGTGGCGGCTGGAGAAGCGGTCGTGCTGCAAGGGGGAATATGGCAGCATGTGAAGAAGGGATTTAGTAAGCGGGATTGGCCCAAGGCCCTTCTAGCCCAGTGGCAGCACTGGCTGCGGCAGAGGCGGGGTAAGGAATGGTTTAAAATAGTATTTTTGTTAACATGCATTTATCAGCAGCAGACGGCATCCAGCCATACCCTCTTCAGGACCTGGCAGCCAGCGAACCAGCTGCAGGGAGGCGCTGTCCCCCCTGGCATGGGACACGATGATTTGACAGCAGTGCCTGGGGAACGCCTGACCGGGAGAAGAGCTATGTAGGGCTCGAAAGCTTCTCTTCCACCAACAGCAGCTGGTCCGATACAAGAGATATTGCCTCCCCGCCTTCTCTCGTGGTGAGACCTCTCTGCTGATGTAATGATGACCAGGCTCCTAGCCCACCAGCCACCTGGCTTGGGGGTGGGGGTGTGAAGTCTAGTGGTTACAGTTGGGAGGGACAGGCTGGGAGCCAGCTCTCCTGGGTTCTATCACTGGCTCGAGGAGGGGCATGGGGCTGGGAGCCGGGACTCCTGGGCAGGGCCGGATTAACCGTTTGTGGGCCCGGCATCAAACATATTTGTGGGCCCCCATGGGGGCAAAGGAGCGTGGCGTGGGGAGGTCGGTCCCCAGAGCGAGGGGCCAGCCAGGGGCAATGGGGCATAGTATGGTGGGGCTGGCCCGCTCCACTCAGCCCAGTGCAAGGGCACTAGTTACAAACCGGCAGTTCCTGGATGCACACTGGCCTGCCCGGCCCTGTGCTGCCAGCATGCCCCTTCCCCTCGGGGGTGGGCCCTGCCACACAGCCCCTGATTCCCTATGCCAAGCGTCCCCTGGAACTGCTATGCCCAGCCGCCGCCCCACAAACCCTCCACCACAAATGCACAGCAGCCTGCACACCACCCCCCTGCCCAGCATCCCCCCACACAACCGCACCACTACTGCCCAATGCACTTCCCCACAGCCCACCACCACAACTACACAGCACCCCACTCAGACCCCCACTGCCCAGCATCCCAACACAGCCCTCCCCCACCGCCCATCAAGAGACCCCCCCACTGCCCAGCAGCCCCACACACACCTCCAGAGACACTCCCTCACACCCTACACCCTGGCCACTCACCAGCCCTGCTGGAAGGTGATGGCGTCTGCCAGGCTGAGCTGGCAGCGTGGCCGGGGCCAGTCCAGTGCAAGGGCAGGGAGGAACATGTGGGGGGGGGTGGCAGGCAGCAGGGCTTAGGGGGTCAGCCCCAGGTAGAATGGAGCTTGAGTGGGGGGGGTTGGGGCCAGCCCCTGGCAGCGATGTGGGAAGGGTGTCAGCCCCAGCTCTTGGCAGTGGTGTGAGGAGCTGGGGCGAGGGAGGGGGTCAGCCCCTGTCCTGGCAGTGGCATGCGGAGCTCGGGGGGGGTGGTCAGCCCCTGGCTGCGTTGTGGAGAGCTGTGGGGGGGGGGTCAGCCCCAGTGGCGGATTTAGAGTTAGTGGGGCTCTGTGCTCAGCTTCATTTTGAGGGCCCCTCCTTGGGACCCAGCCAAGAAAAAGACCATTCTCTCTCATCTCCCCCCCGCTCCCGATTTCATTTTTTTTTTCTTCATCCTCTTCCTATAAGTAATAGCAAGTACATGAAAATAAAGTGAGGTACCTTGATTGGTTTTGTAGTCTAACTTATTTTTCCACAAACCACTTGAAAATCGCTAAGGGTCTTGGTGGACCACTTAATGATCTTTCCCAATATTGTTTGTACCATTAGCTAACTATTCTAAAGCGCTTTGGATAAGAGCGCTTTATAAAAACATTTTTTTAAAAACGTTGGGGTGTGGGGTCTGGCCAGGACTTAAGGTGCGGGAGGGGGCTCAGGGCTGGGGGTGCAGGGTCTGGGGGGGGGGGGGGATGGGGGGGGGGGGTGCGGGTTGGGGGCGGGGGGGGGGGGGGGGGGGGTGGGGGGGTGCGGGTCTGGGAGGGAGTTAAGGTGCAGCAGCGCGTTGGGGTGCAGGGTCTGGCCAGGAATTAGGATGCAGGAAGGGGCTCGGCTGGGACAGGAGGTTGGGGTGTGGCGCGCTTACCTGGGGCAGCTCCCCTTTGGTGCGAGGGGTGCAGGTGGAGATGTGGAGGGGGGTGCAGGAGCTCCCGTTTGGTGCTCAGGGTGAGGGTGGGTATGTGAGGGGGTGCAGGAGAAAGGGCTGGGGTCGTGGGAGTGCTCCCAGGCCCCTGCCCTGAGAGCGGCCCGGGTCGGGGCCCCTTTGGAACTTGGTGCCATTGTAAACCCGGTCCTGGTTCTGTGGGAAGGAGCAGGAAAGAGCAGTGGGCTGCAGTACAGCGCGGGCGTAGGCTGTAAGAGTGAACAGTGAGAGATCACTAGTCACTGGCCAGGGGGTGGGTTTGTGCAAATTAGGAGTGTACAGGGAAACCAGCCAGAGGAAGGCGACTGCAAGACTTGTCTGTCTTTGAAGAGACTTGTGCATTAAGGGTTCTTGCTTTGAATCCTTCCACTGGAGTCATTTTGGGGAAGTGATCCTCACTTACCGTTACCTAGTCATGGTGTCTGTTGCATGGCTGGGAGCTCGTCACGGTGAGGTAGAAAACGTTGGGGGCAGGGGTGTACGTGCATCACACAGTATATGTATTGCTTCTCAGCCTCGTGGCTAAGATCACAGTATCTGTATCGCACAGTATCTGTTCTTATTAGTTTAATAGCTGAAATGTCCTTTATTTGAGGACTGTGTATTAAATTTATTTTTGGAACAGAGGGCTGGAATAGGAGCTTGCTCTGTCCGTGCCATGCATTGACCTGGTATTGCAATGCCTCCAGGAACGGTGCATCTCCCTTTGGGGAGACTATTCAGGTTAGAAAAGCAGAAAGAGTTTTACTGTGATGATGCTTCTATAGAAACTATAGTAAAGAATGATCAGGCACCTAGATAAATAGGATGTATTGGGAAAAGGTGAACACAGCTTTTGTACGGGGCACTCGTACTTCACCAATCTTCTAGAATTTTTTGAGGATCTCAACAAGCATGTGGATAAGGATGATTCAGTCGATATAGCGAACTGGGATTTTCAGAAAGCCTTTGACAGGGTCTCTCACCAAAGGCTCTAAAGAAAACTAAGTGGTTATGGGATAAGAACGTAAGAACGCCCATACTGGGTCAGACCAAAAGTCCATCTAGCCCAGTATCCTGTCTTCCGACAGCAGCCAATGCCAGGTGCCCCAGAGGGAATGAACAGAACAGGGAATCACCAAGTGATCCATCCCCTGTCACCCATTCCCAGCTTCTGGCAAACAGAGGTTAGCTAGAGATACCACTGGCTAAGCGCCATTGATTGGACCGATCCTCCATGAATTTATCTAGTTCTTTTTTTAACCCTGTTATAGTCTTGGCCTTCACAACATCCTCTGGCAAGGAGTTCCACAGGTTGACTGTGTGTTGTGTGAAGAAATACTTCCTTTTGTTTGTTTTAAACCTGCTGCCTATTAATTTAATTTGGTGACCCCTAGTTCTTGTGTTATGAGACGGAGTGGTCTTCGCTGCAGAGGATGGGAGGGAGAGTCCCACATCAGAGCTGTCCTCATTGGGTGACAAATCTGAAGTACCATCCCAGTATAAGAGGTTTTAGAACAAATTGTTCAATTAAACAGGAATAAGTCACCAGGACCAGATGGCATTCGACCACGAGTCCTGAGGGAACTCAGATATGAAATTGCAGAACAACTAGCCGTAGTACGCAAGCTACCACTGAAGCAAGCCTCTGTTGCAGATGACTGGCAGGTAGCTAATGTAACGCCCATTTTTAAAATGGGCTCCAGGGGCGACCCTGGCAATTGCAGGCTGGTGAGCCTAACTTTGACCTGGGAATGTAGCCTGGGAGTTACATTGAGCTACCTAAGCTGTAACCTGAGCCAGGAAGGGGGGTGGGAGAGGTGACACCTGAACAAAGTGGAGGAGGAGCAGAGGGGAGGGGGAAGAAAGCTGCTGGAGGGTTTTGGGAGTTTTCAGTTTTGGGCTGGGAGGTGCAACGCAGGGAACCCCAAGCTGGGGTCTAAGCTCCATGCACTCCCCAAAAGGACTGGATTGAGGGGTCCTAGTTGTATCTACAAGTTCTGCTGTAGACTGTGTTCCTGTTGTCCAATAAACCTTCCGCTTTACTGGCTGGCTGAGAGTCACGGTGAATCGCAGGAAACTGGGGGTACAGGGCCCTAAGTCTCCCCACACTCCGCGACACCAGGGCACAGTCAGATTCTGGATGCTCATGTAAATGTAACGCCTAGTGCTCAGATTAGGCTAGATAAGTTTATGGAGGGAATGGTTTGATGGGATAACGTGATTTTAGTCAATTAGGCAATAACGTGCCATCACTGGTAAAATGAGGGTCCGGCTGGAGAATCTTGCCTGTATGCTCTGGGTTCTACTGATCGCCATATTTGGGGTCGGGAAGGAATTTTCCTCCAGGGTAGATTGGCAGAGGCCCTGGAGGTTTTTCGCCTTCCTCCGCAGCATAGGGCAGGGGTCGCAAGCTGGAGGATTCTCTGCGACTTGAAGTCTTTAAATCACGATCTGGAGACTTCAACAGCTGAGTTAAGGGAAAGTGGGTGGGTCAGCTTTTGTGGCCTGCATCATGCGGGAGGTCAGACTAGATGACCATAATGGTCCCTTCTGACCTTAAAATCTATGAGTCTATGATTTAGTTCTGTTTCTTAGCAGAGGTGGCTAATTAATAAGACCATAAACCTTGGAAATCAAATGAAACCTGAAGTCCGTAGAAGACCCCGAAGGGCCCTTGGGGAGTGGAGTGCAAGTAGAGGAAGAGTTCCCTGCACAGCTTACCTCTCAATTCTCATTTTCCTGTACTGAGCGCAAAAGTCGTAAATCAGCTCAGGGTAGGGAGGAGATACCATATGTGTGCAGTGGTTAGACAGGAAACAGCAAGGAAGTGGACTGGTATTGAGTGAAACTGTAAGCATCTTATGTATGCCTGAGGACTGTATGTTTGAGAGAGTTATGTGGGAAGTGGAGGTTTTAAGTGGGCTTTTGGAGGAAATGTAATTGAAAGGCAGCAGAAAGTGGAATCCCAGCTTTTTAAACAATCCTCCAATAACACACAAAAAAGCTCATGTCTAGTTACTCATTCAAAATTAGAATAAAGTTACAGCAAGATTTCATCATCAATGAAGTAAAATCCTAAAGATTTCAGAACACAACTGCTATAAGGAGCCACGAGGGAAGCAATACAAGGTCAACCTTGTCACAGAGAAACGCAGTGAAACTATTTCTCTTTTTTTACCCGGCACAGTCTCCCCAAACGGAAGGGCGCTGTTCCTGGAGAAGGGTCCTAGAGAGGGTGTCTCTTGTGGGCCATTCACCGCCCTGAA